ACATTCACTAGCTGCTTTCGGACAGAGACTTCAGTTATTTACCCAGTTAACTTACCTTAGGTCAGGTTGGGTTTGGGAATTCGTAAAATTAAATCCTGAAGTAATTGTGCTAAATAATACTAACTCCAGTCGACTATTATGGATTCATTGATTAACCACGTTCTAATCTACGGCTTACTATTGAATAATGCTTCAATTCATCCCTGCCTCCAGTTTGAATGCTCCATTTTCGTTGTATCTCAATGCTGGATAAGTTTGTGACTTGGCTGTGGCATAATTCCGCCTCCGTTCTCATTTTTAGGGCGAGAGTGCCTTATCAGGTCTCTCTCCAGCGATGGCTTCTGATCCCTACCTCCGGGTTAATTATCCACCCAATCCCAGTCCCATGTGTTCCAGTGCGAATATGGGCATTAATTCCACCAGCTCTGCCACGAACGACTCACAGTCCGCTGCAGCGTTGCAAAACTCTTCCGACACTCTAAACTCAGACCATCATCATCAACAACAACAACAAGCAAAACAGCGTCCCGTCCCATCGCCCTACACTATTCCCGGCACTCCACACTCAGCAGAGCCAACTAACGTACAGTATCACTTACGCCAGCATCCATCACCCTATCAAGCACCGCAGCAATCACCAATGGCAGCCAACCCTGTGCCTGTGTCGACGGTGGTGGGTGGACCGTATCATCCCCCGTCCACGCTGCCTTACCCCATGCCGGAAATGAGTCGGTAATTTAGTAGTAACTGGGTCCTCGAAAAGGTTTTCGATCCTGGTGTTTGGTATAGGGCCAGTTTGATTAAATATCCAAATACCTCTTGTTTGAGTTGCAAAGTTTTATCTTCAACATTTAGCGTGTGTTAATGCTGCGGTTTTTTTTTTATTAAACTCATGGACTTTATTATGGAGATGGTGGAAATCATTCGATGCTGAGCATGGCATCCACAGTCTCAAGTTCATCCACCGATTTTCCGCCTAAGTAGTTCAAAAGTGCTTTGTCTTTTCTTAAGATGGTCCATTTGTCCGTTCTCTCATATTCAAATGTGGCAAACTAGTGCTTAAGTAAGAAATTGATGTATTTTAATCGGGTATATTAGAAACTAAGGCGGAAACCCACTAACAACCTATATTGTAGTATTTAGCCTAAACTTTAGTCACCCAAAATTGAGTTCTGTACAACACCTGTATGGGAATTTTGAAAGGGTGTAAAGTGGTACTGAGGACTGTAAAAGGCGATTCTTGTCTCATTTCATATTAAATTTTCTGCTTTGCAGTGAGTGGATAAAGTGTTTTTTTTTCATTCCAAATGATCACAGGATAGCTTAAATTCTATGCACTAAATGGCAGAGTCCCACGATTTACCTTCTTCACCATAGAATTTTCACCTACATTGTATCTCTCAAGATTGTATGATAGTCTGGGGAGAATGTTTTCATCAGAAAAAAATGGATTAATCATATAAGTACCTAACGAGGCTGATTACAAAGCATGTACATCTTGTATTGCTATTTCAGTGCCATTCAGGTGTTTAATTAGATTTTTTTAGTTCTTTTTTGCCATTCAGGACTGCGTTTTCACCTAATTGGAATCAGCTCCACTCTAGTGTAGTCTTTATTCAATGACTTTATGCATGCTTAACTTCCCAACGTTTGTAACATTCTTCCGTCAGCAAAGTCATTATTTATGGCCTCTCGACAAATAACCTGCTTCCTAGTAGGTAGGAATGCATATCCTGTCATTGGTGTGGATAAGCTTTACTACTAACGCAACGTTTGAATCTCCATAGTCTTTTGAAGGCATAGAGAAACCTAATGTGCAGGACATTTTATATTCATTTCCCAAGTTACCAAAACACGGGCTCTCCGCTAAATGCATTGCGCCCGTCTGCTCCGACGGTCGCCTCCGGTCGAGTTATGGGAGAAGAGCGAGCACTCCTCTGGGAGGGCCAACTGAATGTGCGCGGTCAGATGCTCGCTTACGTGCAGATTTTCTTCGAGGTCACAGCTCCGTAGGTTTCCTACCTGCTTCTTTCTCGCTTATCTCTATGTCTGACTTCTGAAAGCCCTTCATATTTCTTCCAGAAGGGCAGGAAATTACGGAGCTGGTGTTGTTTACGCTGTTCTTTTTATAAATTATGCAGACGTATTGAACGCAATTCATTTTTAGTGATAGTGTGGGTAAGGAAGTAATTTATCGTCGAATATCGTATGTGGTTTCAATCATCCATTCATGCTGAACTCCTTTTAAAGTACCCTTGCAGTTAAATAATGTGATATGTTCGAGTTCTACACTAGATGACGCAGAAACTCTTCCACCTGAAATTGAACCGTTGTTTATTGGCTTTCAAGTTGACAAATGTAAACGATTGTTTTGTTAGTTCCTGCGACCATTTTCGGAAGGATAAACCATGGTCCACTTACTTTGGTTGACTTTTGCAGAAGCGGGTCAAATTCTAATCCTTAATTTTACAGTGGAATAACGGTGACTTTTTACTCTATTGTTGGCATGAATCATTGGAGCGGTACAGAGGATTAGCTAGAGAAATAGGGATAGCGCTTCGCTAAACACGGCTCACTTCAAAGGGGCTGGAAAATTTCCGCACAATTTCAAGCAAACGGCTTCTTATCTGAAAAAACGCGAGGGTCAGGTCAAAATACAAGCTGAATCATTCATAAGTGAATTTATCAGATGACCGTTCTGACTTTGTGTAACTCGTAAAGACTTACTGGGTGCATGCAACGTAATGTGTGTTGTCTCCTACTCCACGTTTACCTCTTTTTGCGTCATCACTCTGTTAAATAGCTATCAAACCAACCTTATAAGAAGGATTTGGATTCCTGGGCTTCACTGTGTAAGTTTGACTCGGCTACTGACCTTTAGGAGTTGCGATGTGTGATAGCAGGATGTACTGCCTATATTATTAGGTTTTGAAATTTAATTTTCGAGGCAAAGTACTTAAAATCTGATGCATCACGCTAGGTGGACCCGTTGATCTTGATAGTGATGAACATTTGAATGCCTCTCGACACCAGTCCACAGTTAATGTGGTGGAGACTACTTTCAGTAACGTTTAGAGAGTCATGAAATAATTGGCCTTCATCAAAATCAGCGGAAAAGTAGTGGGTGTTGATCACACAAACACTGTCAATGTAAGTTGTTATATGTCAGTGAGCCTTGCTGACAATCCACTTCATTTCCCATTCCTTTCCCTTCTAGAAAGGCACCATGCCCCTTAGGTGATGAGAAATGGTATACATATAACACAAAACTCCATCATCTTCGAAAGATTATAGCCCTTAGGCTTATCAACACTGAAGTATTAAGGTCTTAGGAAACTGGTATAGACGATCTCAGCTAATAGATAAAGCAGTGTTAATGAAGTGAGATGGTGATATGCGTGATCAGCTATGACAGTTATGACACTATCTTTTTTGCCTGCAAACATTGGAGCTCCTCATCGGGAGGGGACATCAACTTAAGCCTCTTCCCTGCTGGATAGGCTTATGAACTGAGGGAAACCATAATTTGGGTGTGATATTCCTGCTTTAATATGGGAT